GAGGGGTGAAGCAGTAGTGTTGGTGGGTATGGAGGGGTGAGGCAATAGAGTTGATGGACAGGGACGGGTGAGGCAGTAGAGGTGGTGGACAGGGACGGGTGAGGTAGTAGTGTTGGGGACACGGAGGGGTGAGGCAGTAATGTTGGTGGACACGGAAGGGTGGGGCAGTAGAGTTGGTGGTCATGGAGGGTGAGGCAGTAGAGTTCGTGGACATGGAGGGGTGAGGCAGTAGTGTTTTGGTGGACATGGAGGGATTAGCAGTAGTGTTGGTGGACATGTAGGGGTGAGGCATAGTGTTGGGTGGATAGGGAGAAGTGAGGCAGTAGTGTTGGTGGACAGGGAGGGGTGAGGTAGTAGAGTTGGTGGACATGGAGGGGTGAGGCAGTAGTGTTGGTGGACATGGAGGGGTGAGGCAGTAGTGTTGGTGGATAGGGAGGGGTTGAGGCAGTAGTTTTGGTGGACAGGGAGGGGTGAGGCAGTAGTTTTGGTGGAAGAGGGAGGGGTGAGGCAGTAGTGTTGGTGGATAGGGAGTAGTGAGGCAGTAGTGTTTGTGGATAGGGATGGGTGAGGCAGTAGTGTTGGTGGACAGGGATGGGTGAGGCAGTAGTGTTGGTGGACATGGAGGGGTGAGGCAGTAGTGTTGGTGGATAGGGAGGGGTAAGGCAGTAGTGTTGGTGGACAGGGAGGGGTGAGGCAGTAGAGTTGGTGGACATGGAGGGGTGAGGCAGTAGTGTTGATGGATAGGGAGGGGTGAGGCAGTAGTGTTGGTGGACAGGGAGGGGTGAGGCAGTAGTGTTGGTGGATAAGGAGTAGTGAGGCAGTAGTGTTGGTGGATAGGGAGGGGTGATGCAGTAGAGTTGGTGGACATTGAGGGGTGAGGCAGTAGTGTTGGTGGATAGGGAGGGGTGAGGCAGTAGTGTTGGTGGACATGGAGGGGTGAGGCAGTAGTGTTGATGGACATGGAGGGATGAGGCAGTAGTGTTGGTGGATAGGGAGGGGTGATGCAGTAGTGTTGGTGGACATTGAGGGGTGAGGCAATAGTGTTGGTGGATAGGGAGGGGTGAGGCAGTAGTGTTGGTGGACATGGAGGGGTGAGGCAGTAGAGTTGGTGGACATTGAGGGGTGAGGCAGTAGTGTTGGTAGACATGGAGGGGTGAGGCAGTAGAGTTGATGGACATGGAGGGGTGAGGCAGTAGTGTTGGTGGACATGGAGGTGTGAGGCAGTAGAGTTGGTGGACATTG